GGACACGCGCGGGTTGAGCTGTACGCGCATCTGTATGCACACACCTGTACGTCCTGTGACACGCACACCTGTACGCACACGCACCTGTATACGCACCCCCCCTTGCGTGCCCACACCCCCCCCCGAACACGCGTGTGCACACGCGTCCCCTCTGCACGCACACGTGCTCACAGAGCTCTGCCCACACACCCGTGCACACCCCATTCACGCACACCCCTGTCCACACACTTGTGCACACACACAGCCCTGCACACACACGAGTACACACACACCTGTGCACACACACAGCCCTGCACACACACGTGAGCACACACACAAGGGTTGAACTCCAAGAAAACTCAGAAAGCCCTGCCCCTGGGGAGGAACAGCCCCTGCCAAGGGGCAGCTGGATGCACAGCAGGACGTGGGGATGCTGGTGGACACCAAGCTAAACACGAGACAGCAATGTCTCCCTTTGGCAACAAAGGTGAACAGTGTCCTGGGCTGCACGAGCAGGGTGTTGGCAACAGGTCGAGGGAGGTGACCGTTCCTTTCCCCTGCTCAGCACTGGTGAGGCCAGACCTCTGCAGTGCTGTGTCCAGTTCTGGGCTTCCCAGGACAAGAGAAAGTCCAACGGGAAAGGCCGCAGCAAAGGACCAGGAGGATGGTTAGGGCACCAGAGAGGTGGGGCTGCTCAAGCAGGAGAAGAGAAGGCTCACGGAGAGGGTCCCATAAATACCCAGGTTCTTCTCAGTGGTGCTCAGGAGCGGAGACAAGTGGCAAAATGAAACCCTCTGAACAGCAGGAAATGCTTGTTTACTGTGAGTGTGACCAAGCACCAGTGAAATTTGCCCAGGATGGATTTCCATCCTTGGAGATACTCAGAAGCCATCTGGACATGGCCCTGGGTAAACAGCTTTATGTGGCCCCGTGTGAGCACTGGGGGATGAACAAGATGACATCCAGGGGTCGTTCTGACTTCAACCAGCCTGTGATTCTGTGATAAGCCATCTGCAATCAGATTGACTTCGTTCCAATAGTCCAGGAATGCTCTGGAACTGGGTTTGATCTCCCCTACTGAACAGCCTTTACCGTAATCAAAACCTGGCCCACTGGAGATGCTACCCAGAAGGAATTGCTGGAGGGTGTGACACCTTCCAGAAAGTGCTGATGGGCCATCCCCAACACCTGGGGGATTTGTGTAACCATGCATGGCACTGGCCTGTAATTTGCAAGAAGCCATGGTGTGATCTTAGGAAAGTGGGACCCTGAGATGCTGAGATTGGAGTAGATAGTGCTGAGGGGTGGTGACATGTGTGCACCACCTTTGCCTGGGGAAAACCATTCTGAGAGCCTTGAGCGTGGGCAACTGGGGGAAGTATTTGGATTACTATCCTTACCCAGCTGCGTAGGTGAGAGAAGAAACTCCAGACAATTTCTGATAGGATCGTTGTGGTATGGGGGACACCAGAACCTGGCACTTTGGCAGCGGTGTTTAGCAGCAGAGGTGTGAAATCCCTTCTGTGAAACTTGTGTGTAAGGGAGGCAGGTGCTGGTGAGATGCTCACCCTCAGTGGGAGCTCCGAGCTGACCTCAGGGCAGATGTTGCTTAATGGGAACTTCCTAGAGAAAGGTTGGATCCCAGTGCCCAGCCACCCTCTGGGGGAGGGACCCTTCCCCTATATCCAACCTGTCCACGATGGGTAGTGCTCAAGTTTCCACTGCGATGGAAAAAGCTCTGTGCTTGCCGGTGCACGCACCACAGGGACTGCCAGCAGAGACAGCAGGAGTGTTGTAAGAGAGGGCTGCATGAGTTGGGTGAGAACTTTGGATGTATGACATGTTCCTGCCTTGGGGTTAAACACCTACCCGAAGTATGTGGCGGTGGCAGGCGGCCCTGGATGAGGGCAGGGCCTGGTAACGCTCTGTTTAGGAGCTGTGGCACAACAGCCTTGCTGGAAAGGACCTGGGAGGGGTGGAGGGCACCAAGCTGAGCAGGGGCCAACAACGTGCTCCCCCTGCAAAGGTGGAGAACCCCAGCCTGGGCCCCTGGGCCTAGGTTAGTTGTTACCCCTGCTGTTTGGTGCGAGGGAGGTCACATCTGGATGCTGTGTCCAGTTCTGGAATGCTGGGCGAGAGGGGTGGGGACACAACCCCATAGAGGCTGGAAAACTGGCAGCGACCCTGCAGTGGGAGGTGGACGGAGCTGAGTTCATTGGGTCCAGCCATGGGGAGGATGAGAGTGGTTTGAGAGCAGCCTGTGACTCCTCAGGGGGCAAAAGTTGATAGAGGAAAATGCCTCCCCTGAAGGGTCAGGGAATATGATAAGGGAGAAAGTTGTTGCACCTTTGGATGTTGGCTCTGGACACATGGAAGGGAAAACTCTTCTTTCCTCGGGGAGTGGGGAGCAGCTCTGGGATCGTCACCACAGCCATGTGGGATCTCCATCCCAGGGGACTTCCAAAACTTGGCTACTCAAAGCCAGGGTCAGTCTGATCCAGTCCTGGGAATGGTCTGGCTTCTAGTGGGGCAATAAGAGGGAGTCCTCTAGAGATCCTTTCCCACCAGCATATCTTTGATGTCATGACCGTGTAATGAAGATCAAGGGACTCTCCTTGATCCCGTTCAGCCTCTGCAGCGGTGATGCTTCAGCAAGAGCTGCAGGTGACCTTTGAGAGGACAGGCCATCTCGTAAGACCTGTGGTAATGCCTCACTCTTCTAGTGCTACGGGACTCTTTGAGCGCAACCTTGGCCTTGCACCTTTCAGGGAGGATGGTGCCTCCGGGTGAGTATGACCAGAGCTGCTCTGCCCTTGCCCTGGAGCGCAGACTTCTGTTATCTATTTCCTCAGAAGATGAAAGTCAAAGGTGTCTCTCACCCAGAGAAGTGTGGCTTCTTCTTAACCCAAGCTCTTCTTAACCTCCAGATCTCTGAATTACTAACCAATGTTCTACTGTGGCTGTGTTTAAAGAGTGGGACCAACTGCCAGACCTAGGTGTGTGCCCTGGACGCATCTCAGGGCACACACCTGGATGCATTCCAGGCTGACAACCAGGAGACATCTTTCCCTACTGACCTTTCACCGCGATTTCCAAAGCAAAACAATCTAGGAAAGCAGGGCAGAGGACAGCCCCAGCCCTGCCAAGGGTGATGGAGAGGGATAACTCTCCCTGTTGCCAGGGCACACGTAGGATGGGGTGCTTAGGTACTCTTCATATTTTCCTGTGAGGGTGTGAAGAACAAGGATATCGCGGTAGGTTGACCACAGTCAACATCTAAGCACCCACACAGCTGCTGGTTTGCTCCAGCCCCCACCCCAAAGTGGGACAAGTGGAGGGAACTGGAAGAGCAAAACTGAGAAAACTGGGTCGAGAGAAAGAGTGTTGTTATGGCAGAT